GTACCCATAAGATGTTTGTGAATAAAAATAATAATAATAATATAGATATTTTGACCTGAGTAGCCTACATTTTTAAAAATCAATATCCTTTTGAAAAAATATTGTGTTCGGCTTATACATCCCTTAAATGACTTACTGGATTTTAAGTAGCATGAATTCACAAGCTCGTGAATTAAAGGTTAAACGTGGTCCTAATTACTAGTCTGAGAAACACATGAAGAACCAGGTTGTGCACAAAATGTGATGTCTAACAGAATGGAACAGTAGTGAACTAGGAGACGAAAGGCTTATATTTGAAGAACCATAAATATCCACTTATTTTGGTATGAAACAAAATAGCAGTAACCTAAAAATTCATAATCGTTATTAACCTTTTTATCAAGCACTGACCTCTTATTCTCAAGATGAGTCTAGGTTTGCATGCACTGGGCAGTTTAGGTAGAACAGCGAAATTAAAAAAAGGTCAAAAACAGGATACTAAGAAGCCGCAACCACAAAAGTACAAGTCATAATGAATACTGAAAAGAATGAATTTTATGTCTATAAAACTATATTCTTCTATGACAGTATGTTGCAAATTTTTAAGTAACTCAAACCATCCCAATGAACGAATTTAAACATAGGGCTTTCGTCAAAATTTAGATCATTGAGAAATTCTATTGGAAAGAATAAACTTTCATGTACTACTTAATGCATTTTGGAATATAAATCCGTATTTTATGGTATTTAAATATAATATTTAAATATAAACAGTTTCCTAAGTAGACTGGTTTGACCAGTGCACTCTGCCTGCTGAAGTATACAGGAAAATGATGAGATATGTTGCTAATCAAAACAGCTTCCGGCTCTACCATATCTCCTCATGAAGTACCTATCGTTTCTCAGATTGAAACTTATAAGTAGGCATAGAGAAAATACTTTTATCTCCCAAAAATCTCACAATGTCACAACACCTAAATGGATGATCAACGACAAAATAAAAACAGATTCACGGTTTCAATATTCTGGGGAAAAGTACGTCAGTTTTCAAAATGTATCCAACATTCATCAACCTACAAAGCTAACCAAGATAGTCAAGTGATTGCTCACTACTGAGTGTTGTCAGTTGCCTGACGCAATTTTTTGAAATGAATTTTTCAATTCAAGGAAATTAACTGGTTGGTTCCATACTGCGGCGAATTTCAAAAAAGTTGGTTTTATTCAAGAATGCGACTTCTTCCACTTACTGAGATATAATATTTCTGTTACTTTTATTGTACCAGAAGTTAGACTTAAACGCATAGTGAATGCTTTCATCACGTTTAGGTTTATGGAGTATTTTTCACACGATTTTCTCTATAGTCTTCTTTGTTACTGCGTATCCGTGTATTCACGTGCACCATTTTTCCCTTTCTTTCCTGAGTTGGGTTTGTTGTTCTATCCAACGTTTGTTGCTTAAAATATCACAGGTTGAATTTAGGTCTTTGATGCGTGTTTATAGTAACTGTAGTAACGTCAAATTTTTGACATTTTGTGATTAAATGTTTTAACTTTTCTTTTTTTATCAAGATCACGTTGTATATGAAGGAAATTCAGAGTCATCGATGCAGTCAACTACTCTTCCGGTACCCGGTTCAAGATGATATGCAGTGTGATTGGTATGAGATGTTTTCACAAAATCTGTACCAATCCACCACTAGCGTTGCAAAACCGTTGCTGTAAACCGATGTCAGCGAGACCATGTGGAGAATGCGAATGCACTAGTGCGATTCTCCTAGATGAAGCCTTGAAGCTTCTCAATTCGATGAATGAGTTACCAAGTAATGATGTCCGCTCGACAGGCTTGATGTCATAAAAGGTTCAGCCGATAGTGCTGTCAGCTTAGCTCTTGCTCCTGCTAGGTAGACTGAAAGTAGAACTTTCGGTTCACTCAAAGAAGAGACAAACCTTATTCAGTCATTCGTTATGCGTAATTGCAATACTCCCCGTACCGATAGGTAACCTGTCGAAAATGGATATACTTTAAACATTGCTGACAAGGTGAATGCAGCTATTTGATGAACAGAAAGAGGAAGGCTCTCACAAAAAATATCAGATAGCACAAACGAAAAGATCCATCCGAAAGTCAAAATCAACAATTAAAGAAAACCTTCTAGAAGTTAGTTTAAAATAGACCACAACGCAATAAAAATCCGTGGAGACAATTCTCATAAAAGCCAAATTGGGTCACAGATTCTATGTTTGGATTCTGCTGGAATCAAAGAAAAAATAACCATTCTAAGTGGTATGCATTTTATCTGGATTTAGTGGGAAGTCAGAAATGCACTGCCAGAATAGATTCTGTGAGTTCATATTACTAAGATAATAAAACCCAGTAAGTTAGTCGAAAGCAAGATTCAGAAAATAAATATCTTGAAGTTAGGACTCAGAAGTAGCGAGAGTAATGACTTCATAGCAAACAAGACATATAAAACTAGCAATTCGAATATTCGTGTCTGACCACATTGCTTACTTGAGGATCCAGTGAAGAAATAGAATGCGCTTACTGAGTTAACAACTTGGAAGCAAAGTGGCAGAACAAACCCCGAATTCAGGTTTTTCAGGCAGTCAGGCCTTCGAGTTCAATGTTTCCGAGACCTGTATGGATATAATTGGTGATCCACAAGACACCTTTAGTTTGTTCAACACAACATTAGTATATTAAAGATTCCCATTGTGAAAATTAGAACAACACATATAAGCGAACAATTGTTTTCAATTAGATCGTCATCAGGCTTTACTCTAATATACATGAATATTTATACGAAAATTTTTAAACCAATCAAGGCAATATGAGTCAATAATCACAATGAAATAGAATAAGTCACTACACATAATGGGTAAAAGTACAAGTTGATAGTAGGAAGACAGGTGAACTGATAATAGTGAGAATAATAAAATACAATAACAAAACTCTTATCAATAGTTAATCGTTGGAAATAGAAGGTCAAAGAAACATGGGTAAATAGACTAGGAATAGTAATCACAAAACATTAAAATCCTTACGTAATAAGATGTGTGTAAATAATTAGATAGTGAAGAATACAAAGAGGCGGAAAATTACAAACAAATAATGGATGTGGAAATAAGGCGAATGATAACACAAACATTAGTAGTCTTAGGTATAAAACGTTTGAACCAACCTTCATGAGGGATGAATTAAGTTCTGATGCAGTTATTTTCACAGAAACGTAACTCACTCCAATCACTGCAGAATACATCAGCATTAGAGGTAATAGAGTTAAAGATCACTGCAGATAAGGCGTAATATTGTATGTTAGAGATCACTTTCATATGCAATCGAACGCACCAGAGGGGCATGATAATCTTTGTGAGGTAGCCTGTCGAACAATTAAATTCAGATATAGGTCAGTGACCATAGGAGTTATATACCATAATCCACAGTAACTTGCTGACGACTTTATCCTTAAGTTAAATCATTACTTGGTGTAAAGCTTACTGTCGTCTTATCGTTGGATATTTCAACACCCTGTGAATTGATCGGACAGATCGTACAACTTCAGGTGTATATTTTGTTGATTCCCCGCTGTCAGCCATTACCCACTGTGCACTTATGCAATGTATCAGAAAATCAACACGAGTTGACTCGGACTATGAACTATCATCCCTAGATCTTGTCGTAACACATCACTGTGATGATGTCATCGATATTTAATACCTCCGCTCACTAGTAAACAATTATCACAATGTTCTGTACGTTAGGTTTTGGACACGACATACAGTATGCATCAGACCACCCCGTCCAAATATCTGATGGGCTAACTTTCTGGTAATCACAAACTGTTCTAACTCAACAGACTGGTCGATTAATGAAGACAGATCGGTCGAGGACGAACTGGATAGGCTTAAAGCCACATTAGAGAGCAGCATTGTCGTTCACTTCACGGTGAACATACTGGCCTCTAATAATTGATTGGGAAGGTCGATAGCTACTTTGGCATGGGAAACATTATTGGAATTTGTTCTTGTTAGTGAGACACGAATACCGAAAAGCCCAGAGTGTACTTACGAAGAACATATCCAGGTGCCGCACCATTTATGAAATACAGTTGGCAAATGATGGCAATCTCAGGCCCGAAAGATTATCTTCGTACACTGAACGATGAAGAAACGTAGTGAGAGAATCCCGCCATTATTGTGGCACGAAAATCCTGATGCACCGTACAAATCAGATTTCACCAAAGACGAGGATGTATCAAACTATTTCGGTGAGCACTAATCAATGGGTATTGTCAACTTGACTTTCTATAACCGTACCACTGGTGAACCTATGTGAAACCTCACGTAGAGTATTATATTCGAGCAGCCGGTCCACGACTTACCGAAGATCATATTACACTGAAAAACTGAGAACTGACTGATCACTAGGTGATGATCAATGTCATGTGTGTCAGGTCATTCTTAGTGCAGATCGAACGTTAACGACCAATTTGAAATGTGGCCACTAGTCTAGGTGACTCAACATTGCGTGCACTATTTTGAGATAAGATGGTGGTCGAGAGTAGTCAACAGGAAACCCTGGACCCGAATGTTGAGCGAACTTCGTGACAGGTCTTTCCAGCTCACCGTACAATAAGCGCTAAAAAGGTTTAAACCTATTTCCCATGTCGTAGCATGCGAGATCAATTTCTTGGCACTCCGTATTTTTAATAACAATCCTGGTGTCTTGCTTTTTCGCCTGCTACACATCCATTCATCTCTGAGGCTACATTAAGAGGGTTCTAGATAGTCAGAGCAAGGACCCCGTTTTTCTCATGAATTGGTCGGAGAATGGAATGTCACACCTAAACGAGTGGCATCAGCCCCATCAGTGAGTGCTTACAAGAAGAAGCTAAGTTTCCAGTAGAAAACGATTCGCGAGGACTGACACGATTCCACTAACCCACTGTTCTTATTACTGAAGAGTAAGTATTGAATGGACATGTTTGTTATAACGATTCAGTTGTATGAACTCTTTTGCTGTTGTCTTTGAAGTTTGATCTAAGTTTCTGAGTTCATTGCTGTTTTTCTATGAGTCTTGAAGTCTTCCATAAAAACTCCTGCACACCACATAGAGTTTGTATTTGATGAGACTTCAGAATTTTCTGGAGTGTATTGATCACCAAACCAACCGGTAATGAATAAAGTTGATTTTAAATATGCTTAGTTAATGAGTTACTAAAACTACATTCTTTTGTAATCATAAGAGACCGGAATTATTTTTAATGTAATCAAAAAAATGTAGTATGCAGTTTCAAATACAATTTTTATTTTGTGATCACTGTTATGAAAGGGTGTTTTTTTATATATATACCCCAATTTCATTATCTTGGAGAAATTTTAAGATTCTCCCCAAAGTTGTAAGGGATACAATAGATTTCCCCAGAACTAAGAAAATTTAGGGGTTGTTGTGCTACTCACTCGAACCGGAAAAATTTACCCTAATATAGGGAGGTTAGGATATATATATATAATGAAGATGTAAGGAATAATTAATAGTCACTTCAAGCTTGAAGCGCACATACAAAATATGCTGAATATGGAAACCAGAAATTTCTCGTTTATTTTTGCTAGAGCGCGTTTAATGTGTTGCTGGGACTAGAAACAGATATATTTCCCGAAATAATCAACACTATTCCTGACTATTCGTAGCTGAATCGAAGATGCCTAACCGCTTACAATGGGGAACAACGTTCGATCTGTAGAAAGAAATATGGGTTGACCCATATTGACTCACTAGCCTTTCGACGAAATAGCTCCCCTAACAATCTAGTTACGACGTACTAATGCAGTATGAGACTGAAATGGAGAACATTTTACATTAAGTTTCACTCAAACAAACATACAAATGCTGATGTTATGCACTGATTCCTAGTACATAGAAGTTTCGACATAATGTTAGGCAACACTGAACTCACAACCATGAAATTTAATTGCAGCAGTAATTTTGGCTAAAACGCAACAGACACCGTAGAGGCGCTAGCAGAATCAAATAATGTAAGTAAACAAATAAAACGTAGGAACACTTTTTTACTTATTCGAAACGTTGAATGTGTTCGTCAGTTAATGGTCCTAAAACGAACGATATGAATCAACTTTGTATTAGGAAATGCCTAGAGGCACCGTCTAAACATTAAGTCCAGGTGTATATCCTGATGAATATACCAATGTATGTGTTCGTATTAGTTGTTTATTATGTTTATTTTTACTCACAATTTAGATCTAATTGATATATTAAGATCTCGCAGATTGTCTCTATTTTTTGTTGAATGGGTTTCGATTTGACATTTCCTGTGTGTGATTTGTATCGACAGTTGCTTAAAAAAGACTAATACTGATATGATCATATCAAACGACACCATAACAGATTTGTGTAGTAAAGACAGAAGGCCTACAGCCTATGTTATTCCTTTTCTAGTATGCTTCTGTGAGTGTCCAGTCTTCTCTTGAAAGAGTCAATTGAAGGTGCGGACACCACTGTTTCAGGCAGCAGGTTCCAAGTATTGATGACGCGGTGTGAAATCCTGTATGCCACGGGTATTTTGTTCGTTCTTGGCTTTTCTACTCGCCTGCTATGTCCTCTAAGGTGTCCCGATCTAGTGGGAAGAAAGAGAGAGAATAAGTTAGGTCCGAAATCATTTCTCAGTATTCTGTACATCAAAATTAGATCTCCCCTCTGTACTTTTTCTAGTATGTCTGAGTCACTTTTTAAACATGGGCTTGCAGCCTGAGAGCAGTTCTCCAGCTTAGTTCTCACTAAGGATGTGTATACTGTGGTGAACATGACATTATCTAACTTAGTGAATGTCCTTTTTAAAGCCCAGAGGGTTCGAAACCCCTTGGCTGCGACCTCCCGGCAATGAGCCATCGTCTTAAGATCATTGCTCACTGTCACCCCTAGATCCTTATGAGACCGGACTACGGGTAATGACACATCCCCTATGTTGTAAGTATTAACCTTTGAATCCCCCAAGTGCATGTAGCCACACTTCCGAGTTGATAGGCATCAGCCACTCTTTAAACCAGTCTATCATATTATTTAAGTCTGCCTGAAGAGTGAATGCGTCTTTGTCTCCAGTTACTACTCGCCAAATTTTTACATCGTCAGCGTATAATAACATTGAAGACTGCACTATACTTGTAAGATCATTTACGTACATTATAAAAAGTAAAGGACCTAGGACGGAACCTTGGGGTACTCCACTACGTACTGACCTCCAGATGGAGCACTGGTCTCAACATTCGAAATCTTATACAGATGAAACAAAGCCCTCAAGTTTCAAACTTTTCTTTTATCTTGGTCAATACGGTGCGACAAGTGCAATTGTTATTCAGATTAACTTAATCTCGTTCCCATTTCGCATTTTAATAGTGATGATTTTCTTACTTCTCAAAGATGTTGATCCTTTTCTTTAAAGTTACCGTTCTTTATACACCATGACGGTATTTAGGCATATTATGTTTTTCAACCGGATTGCATTTATCTACCGTTTTGTTCATTAATTTTTCCCACAGTTACAAAGCATTTGTCAAACGTGTTGAAGTGTAACGTAAAGTTTAAACATCAAGTTGTTTGTTTAGGATATATGTATTGTAATTTTTGGACAATAAGTCATTCAGTATTCCTAATAACGACTCCTGTAATTTAAAGTTAGGTCTAAAGGTACAACAGGTATTCGGAGCTTGTCAACACCTCCATATGTAACACCCTTTTAATTGAAGGATATCAATCCAGTTGAACCATAAGTTAGAAATGAAAGTGTTCATAGACATTCTTCGAAAGCTAATGAAATGTCAAGAAGTGTTTGGTTTAAGCTGGATAGTATTTGTGAAGGATGTGTAGCTCAAAGTACCCGCTCGTGATCTGTTGCAAGTGCGCGAATAAGCGCCTTCAGCTGTGGTATGTTCAGTAAAACTAATTGAGTCAGCATCAATGTCAAAGAATTACAGAACTATTTATTTTAGGAATTTATTTGCTACCATAGGTCTTGACTGGCTGTAACAACGAAATTTATCTACCATTAGTCAAAGTTCTTTCAAGAGATTCAGCAGGAAAGTCTTGGCTGATGTCTATCTTTCGCTAATCTGTCATAGAACACCGTCTGAACAGACAGTTTTTCTATCCTTAACAAAATAATAAGCCTTAAGTATTCAGTCTGCCATAATGATGTGGAGCAGGTAATAAGTACAGTAAAAAGTGGAAGCTAGGGAAATGTAACTATCATATACGCTGATATTTAGGTACCATGTCAAAAAACATTCATAATTAACCGCCACACTTACGTAACAACAAAAGTGGTAATTCTATCTGTCTGAACAATATCCGACGTCATTTTGGAACTATATTTTTTGTTTTGTTTATAAACCAATTAGCATCATACAAACATTTATTGAGTTCATTTTATAGAAATGCAGCCAAATGTTTGCACAACTTACGATGTCTGTATTCTACTGGTTCCTCGTCGAATTCAGTGCATACTTTATTTAAACGAACTTGGAATATGTTTTGTACCAAATCACCCTTCTTTCCCCAACAAAATGCATATTCACAAGAACCTAGTAATTGGGTGCAAGAAAGAAATTATATTAAGAAATAAGAAAACGCAAAATGCAGGCCTAAAAATAAGTTATTTCAAAACGAGAAAGGTAAAAAGTCATTTAAATGGTTGATTTTTTAGGTGTACGAAAAGAAGAAAAAATTACAAATCCTTGAAGGAACAAGTCTTAATATACTTTTTGCATCTGATCAAAAAGCTTCCGAATGCATGAAAGCAATTGAATTTTTCTTCAAAAGTGCCCACTCAAACGACGGTAAATGAGTTCAGTATTTGTCCGTTGATATTAAACAACTTGAGTGCATTTTTTGAAAAAGTTTTTTCTGTGTTAATTGATTATCTTGTGTTTTTGCCTCTGGATCTGTGACCAGATGAAAGTAATCCATACAAACATGTAGATATAAAAAGATTTGTTAAAACTAAATTACCTGATAGTAAAAATGATTTGCAATGGTCATCTTTTGTGGCTTTATTCTTTACACTACCATTTGAAATGCTCGACTTACTTAAACTAGTTGACTGAATTTCTAACATCATATGTTTATAACAAGAACATAGACTACTATCATTTATTTGCACTAGACAGACATTTAAGGCTCTCGATCACAGACTTGTTTAAAGCGCGCAAATGATCATTTTTGGAAATACAAAATAAATCATACTTTATATTTACATATGTCAAGTTTATTCACAGGAGATGATGATTATAGATAGTTCTTATATTATGCTTTCAACATATTCTATTTTATAATTAAATACTTGGGTTTGTTTAAATTCGCATGATTTTCCCTGAAATTGCGTTCTAACGAAATTTTAATAAAAGTCTATTTTGATTCCCTTATTCATCAATTTAGCTAAACCTTACTTAGTCTTAATAAATCCTAAAAGTGGATCAGGAAATGCTCTAAATGGTTTTAACTTCGAAATTTCTCCCATTTGGAAACAAATGAATGTTCCATATGAATTATTTTGTACAGGTAATTAATTTAACTATCTCATTTTAGATTTTTCAACTGATAAACCTATTATATCATAATAAACAAAACGTTCAAAATACTCTATAAAATTTCAGATGCTTTTCATGAAGAGAGTTCACAAAATCGTTTGATAGTACTTCTGTATATGTTAAATGACAGCAGAATTAGTTATAACTGAGTGAAAACCAATTATCAGAAATTAAATTCTGAAAATGCAAAATGAATGTTTCATATTAATGTACAAATACATGACCAGACTCATGTGCAATAAATTAGTATTTTCAGTAATTACTAATACTAATACTAAATTAAGTCAGTAGAATAATTTGTATGATAGTTTAACAAAAACATGATGCCAAGATATATGATGTCACAAAATTACAACCATAGTTTTGATACCAAGAAAATCAAAAATCTCTTTGAAAAGCTTTAAATTTCAAATCAATTATATTATCCCAGAGACTTATCAATCGAACAGTTAGAATTAACTATTCATTTGAAATTAGAATTCCATGTGCTTATTAATATGAAGTTATTCAAATAGTAGACTGACCTTAATTGACCTGAACTTCAATTGAAATTTAATAATCAGCTTATATTAAAACTTTGAAATATAGTGCATCTCAGCAGAGTCAGATCTATTTTTTTATTGACTAATACTAGTAAACTAAAAGCTCATATGTATAGACTCCTAAAGATAATTTAGACCAAATCCCAAGCTACATTTAGAAATCACATAGTTGAATTGTATAACAACACTTTGGCAATTTATGTGCTGTGATTAATCAACAAATGGATATGAATTTTGTAATGCAAGTCAACGTAAATATGATCAGAGACTTTTAAACACCATTCTAGTCATCCTGACCTGAACTACTATTAAACTACTGGATATTTCAATAGTAGTACAGTGAGGGAGAAATGTAAATTATGAATTTTTGACTAAATAAATGTTAATCCAAAGAATTCCTTGAACCCTATTTCCTGATTCTCGAAACTCGTTATCATGCTGTATTCTGAACCTTGAATGGACTGATACTTCCGCTGAGAACCAAACCAGAATCACTTAGTGCTACAGCACTACAAAGTGGAGAAAATGACGCAGGGAACCATTCAATGACTGATTATTGCAAATATCTCAGTTATATAAAAAACCCAGATGTGACGTCTCTGACTGCACCATTCCGGGATACGAGTGTAATTATTTAATAGACTATAATTTATTTTAAGATTTTATGGTTGGCATCACGAACTGATCTTATTTAAATAACCTCTGAATAGCATGAGGCACTGGACAGGTGTTTCGTCAGAGTACAGGACCCATCAACAGTGAATATCTATAATCTCACCGCAGATCTAACCCGGAACCTTTAGTTTTACGGCTAGCCTTGATTTTGACCGTAAACTGATTCATTGTGTGATGATATCAGGGTTGACTGTTCGATCACTGTTAGCATATTTAGTCCAATATACGTGAGTTGTTTCATTATAAAGTTATGCTGGTTTTTTATTTGTTTGGTCTTATCAGTAAAATCACTTATATTAGTCTAAGTTTCAAGTTCACTGTAGTTTAACACATAACTATTTTTTTCAGAATTATGACTAATAAAGTGTCACGTAACAGGGGATAAAAAAGCTAAATGATAAAAGCATCTTCTGAAACACAAGTATGTTTCAAGAACCCACATTACAACTATACTGTTAGTGTCATTTAAAATGACTTTCCATCAATTATTAAAGTCCTCTTGAATTATACTGACAGAATCATTCCATCAACTAAGTAAAAATGATTTAGTAAAAAGACATAAAAAGAAGTCATTGTATATAACAGATAGAATAATACTAATTGTTCTTTAACCAACTGACTAACATTACTTTCATTCATTTTCTAAAGTAAGTCGTTATCATATCAAAGTTATTTCAATATTTCAATGGTATTTTCAACGTAAACTGTAAAGAATAATGTTTTATTTTATTACGTTAAACTACATGACATCCTAGCGAAATCATTTTTTTGCTTAATAGAGTAAAAAAAGTATAAACAGATGCAATTTTTATAAATTGGTATTTATGTTATCTGAACTACGACCATTAGAGGTTGGAACTGCTATACGTAGATGAAGTTATTAAACATAATTTAGAACGATTACAAAATTGTTGAATGAGATCATTTGAATTACTCAACTTTAAACAGTTTATCTAAATGTTTATTATCTTTTAACGTATATTTTCCTTGCTCTATCCACATTTTGTCTTATTCACACCATTTATCAGGTTTCCACTATATATGGTCTGAAATTCGTACTTTTCAAAATTGAACATTTTTATGCTTACTTATCTACCCTGAATACTGAGTCTATAATTTTCTTTTTTTATCTAAATGTACATAATTAAGCATAAAAATACTATTTCTACAACTCATAATGGTAACATGTATTTCGATAATCGTCTATAAAACTATCAATACTAAGTGTTCATTCCACTAAGATAGATTAATCATTTAAAAATGATTTCTCACTTAGTTCACCGTTTACTTGGAAATTAAGACAATAGTCAAATGATTCTAATAATAAATGAATTTGTCGATCAAGTAAAAACAAAAAATAAATAGTGTCAATTTAAACGAAAATATCTGGATTAAATGTTGTTTGTAAAAAAAAATATTTTTGTTAAAATAACTAATCTTATATAGATGATTAAATTCCGTTCTGACGTATAATTGAGATGTCAGGTTGACCATACATGAAGACCTTTTTACCTTACTTTCTAACCCATAAATAAAAATGATATATTTGTAATATTCCAATGAGTAGAAAAATTAGATTTTCTGACGTTTCGTGACTCAGTGTAAGCCACTTCTTCAGAGAACAAATAACCGAATCAAAATCAACCCAAGTTTAAATAGTACGAAGGAACAAAGCAAGAATATTAGGTGCGATCAATCAAAGAACAGGTTTGAAAAAGTCATTGGCATATCATTTCGGTCAAGGTGGATTTCAAGCGACATGTATGTAAACTTGTGTTTGTGTATGTGTGTAGGGTGGACAACTGACTACGTAGATGCCCAACTTCGAAACCAACAGGATTCCGTAAGAATAGATTGTGTACAGACCAAATCTCAACTCTACGGATCATTGTGGAACAATCAATTGAATGGAATTCATCACTCTACATCAAATTTATTGACTACGAGAAAGAATTTGACAGCGTGGACAGAACAACACCATGGAAGCTTTTTTGATACTACGGCGTGCTTCAGAAGATAGTCAATATCATACGGAATTCCTATGATGGATTCAACTGCAAAATTGTGCATGGAGGACAATTGACAGACTCGTTCGAGGTAAATACCGTTGTCAGGCAAGGTTGCTTACTCTCACCCTTTCTCTTTCTCCTGGTGATCGACCGGATCATGAAGACGTCAACATCTGAAGGAAAACGCGGGATACAGTGGACATCTAGGATGCAGCTGGACGATCTAGACTTCGTAGATGATCTGGCTCTTCTATCGCACACGCAACAACAAATGCAGGGGAAGATGACCAGTGAAGCAGCAGCCGCAGTAGCAGTAGGTCTCAATATACACAAAGGGAAAAGCAAGATTCTCCCATACAACACAGCATGCACCAATCCGATCACAATTGACGAAGAGGATTTGGAAGATGTAAAAGCCTTTACATATCTGAGCAGTATCAAAAGAACTGTCACCCAACACTAAGGTCAGGATTTTCAATACAAATGTCAACACAGTTCTACTGTATGGGGTGGAAATTTGGAGAACTACAAAAGCCATCATCCAGAAGATACAAGTGCTTATTAACAGTTGTCTACGTAAAATACTTCGGATCTGTTGGCCAGACACTATTAGCAACAACGTACTGTGAGAGAGAACAAACCAGATCCCAGCGGAGGAAGAAATCAGGAAGCGCTGGAAGTGGATAGGACACACATTGAGGAAAGCATTCAGCTGCATCACAAGACAAGCCCTCACATGGAATCCTCAAGGCCAAAGGAAAAAAGGAAAACAGACATGAAAAGAATGAACAGAAATTGGATCGAACTTGAAAGGAGGGCTCAGAACAGAATGGGTTGGGGAATGCTAGTCGGCGGCCAATGATCCATTGGGGATAATAGGCATAAGTAAGTGAGGAAGTAAGTACGTATACAAGGTCAGGAATGAAAAATTGTAACCTTTGTAGTAAGATAGGATAGAGTTTAATTAATATTTACGATAATAGTGGGAAATGTGAATAGTATCAGAAATAGTAGCTTGGATAGACAGTTCAAGTTCAAGCTCCTTAGAAGAACTAACAAGATTATCACATTTTAAGAGGACAAACAAAAAGAGTAAAAACGTGTAATTAAAATCTTACAATTTAATAATTTTCCCATGAAGATTATTAAAAGCATAATAAAGCAAGATGTTTCACTGCTAATTAATGATTTGTATGAAATATCATGGATTGGTACTGCGGTTTTACGATAACGCCATGGTACAACAGAAGGACTACAAAGAATTCTAAAACCACACACAATTAAAATACATTAAGAAAAAACGAACACACTTCAAACTATATTAGTTCGCTTGAAAGAAAAAATCCCCTTTATGTCAACACAGAACTGTCTGCTGATTGTGATACCTTCTATATCAGAGAGTCATCTCGCGAAATCTTGATCCGAGCCAAAGAACATCTTAGGTACACAAAATACCACCTAATAATCCCGTAGAATTGGATAAACTTCAAATTAAGTCGACAACAGCAGTTCTCATCACTTTCAACAACCACCAAATCGGTATCAAAATCATCAAAATATTACAAAAAGGCTTTTACAACTACAAAGAAAGGATAATGCTGAAGCTTTCCATATGAAACATAATCTCACTGCTCTCAGTAGAAAAGAAGGCCTCGATATCCATCCGACCTGAACTATCTATCCAAGCTACCATGTCTGATATTATTCACATTTCACACTACAAAGGTTACATTTTTTAATCCCTGACCCTACAAACATACACAAACACAAGTTTACATACATGTCGCTTGAAATCCACCTTGACCGAAATGATATGTCAATGACTTTTTCAAACCTGTTCTTTGATTGATCGCACCTAATATTCTTGCTTTGTTCCTTCGTACTATTTAAACTTGGGTTGATTTTGATTCGGTTATTTGTTCTCTGAAGAAGTGGCTTACACTGAGTCACGAAACGTCAGAAAATCTAATTTTTCTACTCATTGGAATATTACAAATATTTTATTTTATTCATAACAACCTGAACAATGCTCAATTTATTTGAAATTTTCATGTCAAACCTTGTTAATGATACCCCCAAACTCATTTCTACCCCATATTTTATTATTGTAAAGTTGATGAAGTACTTAAAAGTTCTAGATTTTAGAATTAAAACTTGCTGGCAGAGTATTAAAATGGTGGATACTCCTCAAAGATATAGAAACAAGATAAACAAATATTCAAACATTCTATGGCATAAATTTAGCTCATTTTGTCAACTATACACAATCTATATCATACTAGTGATATATTACAGTAAAGTTGTATTGTTACTAAAATAAATATGAAAGTAAATAACAAATACTCAAAGTGTATAATGAAGAATATTAAGGAATTTATAATTAAAGAATAAGTAGATAAATAAATGACAAAAAATGACAATCACGAGTAAAAAAGTCAAATTTACGGATATTTAGTTGATCTAGGCAGCACAATACGTGAGCTTATTGGATAGAGATATCCAGACTACTGGGAACCTACATTATATTAATTAAGGAAATAACAATGACATTTTATCATTCCATTTGCATACGTTTCAGAAATATTAAACGCCGTAATGTTAACTTTCTATTGATCAGAACAAAACCTGCTAACAGAAAGATGATAAACAGGTGTTACCTGATTAGAAACAAATGAAAGAAGCTCTAGACTTAAGTTGTATCACTCGTCATCGATTAAATTTATTTAGCGTAAAAGAATAAATAAGGATGACACTAATTGCTCAGTAGTCAGAAGTCTACCAACATAACGATAAACCACCAGACAATACGTCCTTCCATAACTTATAATAACATAAACATAAACTCAGTATTATATGTATATCTTCTTTATTATACTGAATTATGCTCGAGAAGAGTTTACATGGTAATGTTTAATTTATATACCTTTCATATTCACCATAAATAGTTTATTTATGCATTCATGTATTCGAATATCAATTTTGATGCCATATTTCTGCTATTTAGAATATCCAGGCCATGCAGAAAATTTTATCAGAAATTTACCAAAAGCTAGTCTTTTACGTTATAGAGCAATAGTTACGTGTTCAGGTGATGGACTAGTGTATGAAGTAATTAACGGATTCATATCAAGAAAAAATTATGATGACGCCATTGATGAGGATACAATACCTGTTGGGATTCTACCAGGAGGTAGTGCTAACTCAACTGCTGCTTCAATTTGTCATCATTCTGGGTAATTAAATATTTAACAATGCAAATAAGTTAGATATGCTATTTATTAGAATAGGTTTTTGTTTTAAAGCACAGCAGAACATAACTGTGCACAAACTATAAAGCAGATGAATTAACCCAGATGTATATCCAGTTACTTGGTAATATATTTCATAAACAATTGTGCTTGTTAAATTAGTTGACATAAACCAAACATAAATATAACATTACAATTTAGTCATTCATTCATCAGTCTATGTAATAAAGTTTTGTTAAGTTGACTGACTAGTTTGTATTACGTAATAACTAAAGACCATAAAATATCATGATCATTTCATGCATTTGCTTGGCTAATGGTTTCTTGATTTATCGAATAACTGATAGTCATTTCTTATACCCAAATCCATTCTCAGTCTGTGATCACAAAAAAGGGCAAATCGATAAAAGGCGAAAATGATTTGTAATTATAGTGGCTTTTAAAGCGGTATTGAATTTTTATCACTGAGAATCCTGTGAGACTTTATTTCACTAATATACACATTTAATGATTAAAAGTCTTTTTGTGATTTTTAAAAGTTGATAGGCAAGGGAACAGTTAATAAATCAGAAAATCACTGCGTTTATCATTACTTACATTCCTATTCAAAAGAATTTCCCCTATAATTTATTATTCAAATGTTCACTTCACTCACGTAGACAAAATGATAGCGACTGTGTATTGGATTGTGGTAACAAACATAAGTTGAAATAATTTTTGAAACAAGTTCTTTTCGTATTAATTAAGAGCTAGTTTGGTCTATTTTTCAAGTGATGACAATTGTGATTAAACGAGTTACAAACTAGTATTCAACTATTTTTTTGAAGTCTTTGGTTCACTTGATTCTTATAAAGCCCTACCGTCAATTACCAGTAAAAAACGTCAAAGGTTGCTGTACAGAGATGTTATATATTTATAAGTTTTTTCACTAAATGACACTTGTAGAGCAACCATCGAAATTCATCCATATTGATACAATACACTAGATGAGACTTGAAATTTACAGGTTTACTCCTACTGAATAACGTATCTTTGATCTGTCGAAATGTCCCGAATGTGGACAAGACTAATAAATTCCGAAGTTTCTTAAGTTAATGTTAGTTTGCAATGAAAGTCACATGTAAACGTTGCAATTATGAAGTTATGCATAGATCAGTCCCCTAACGGAAAATGTCATCATTTAATATTGGTAATAAAATATTTATTGCAAACCTTATGCTTTCCTATATTTAGTTTACTAGGCAAATCATCACTTTTATCACACTGTGGCTTTCTGTTAACATTACCAATTGAAAACTTACAAAATAGTCAATCTAAACAAGTTAATGAGCAAAGTGAAAATTACAATTTTACTTTACCACTTTTACCGTGTATCAGTCCGATGAGTGGTATACACTTTGGAACATGTGACAGAAATTTTCATCGATACGGTATTCAAAGTATTGAATGGGGTTTCGTCGCTGATTTGGACTACAAAAGTGAACGATTTCGTTGGATGGGTGAAAAAAGATTTCTACTTTATGCATGTTATTACCTTATGAGTAAGCGTTTAGTTTCCTTTACCATATGAATCAAAACCGTTCCTTGTTGATCTTTTTAAACTAACGAATTATGTTATACCCTTCAGACGTCAAGATAATATAATAATATATGACTGCATTTAGTTCAGTGTGACATCCAGTCAAAATAACATCATCCTATTCGAGTCTTCAGTTATTTCAATCATAAACGTGACCGAAGCATTAAAAAAGCTGCATGTAAAACGTTTGAGAAAACTAGGTACTACGTTTTTAATGAGATTCGGATTTAACTGGTCTCGAGCTTGTTTTTACAATGTGCAAAACCGAAAATCTTTTAGATCTAATAGACTTCGTAAGGACTCAGTCTTCACTCAGTTGACTTAGACTTTATCAATATATTTAGTTGCACATTTTTATGCCCCACTCTAACAAAGCAGTGAGACTTGGTAATTTCTACAGAAAAGGATGTTAGTGCGTTTCATGATGTTTGTCTTCTGCTGGTGATAAAGCAACGTTCACTGAAAGTTTTCAATTTATAAAGTCTACTAGATCTTACAATAATCAAAATGAAAGAGGAAGATTTCAGAAGAAAATACTATCGTTTCTAAACCTCAGATTGACTATCCATTCAACTGATGATGACAATGATAGTTTTAAGGAAGCGAACTAAATTTATATTAATACGTAAAAAGAATAGAACGTCCGGAATTTTTAAACAAGTTAATCAACGACAGAATTTCTTACCGTAATGACGCTGAAAGAGGGTCACGTATTCACTTGAAATTTGACTACAGAAAGTTGAAGATTTTACTTTGTTGAGCGTTTCACTTATTCTGGATATTTCAATTTTGAAGTTGGTGTTAAAGTCATATAATTTTTATGATGTAAGCTACGAAAAGATTAGGTTGAAATGAAACTTTAATAGATGAAGAAAACATATTCGTAAGACTAGTATTGTCTTGCTGTAGTCTAGGAGATATTATAATTGAAATCCAGTTTAAATAGTACACATTAGATCGTAAACAATTCATATTTTACTTTGCGTTATTGTTTTAAGTATTGACCTCACATCCTTATGAACTAGGTCTGTGTATAGCGCGTACTCTCAAAAGCGAAGCAACGCTAGTCCAGTGACCGAGTCTAATGTAGAAGTCATAAAACATTCTATCTATGAATTTATGAAGGACAACTCGACTTTACTTAGCGAACGACAACTTACTCCGATGGCATCTAAATAGTCAAGTTGTACTTTATTCGACAAAACATCGTTAACATTCGATCAGATTGTAAATGTATGCAAAGAAAGTTTCACCGTTCTTTTTATTTATGTCATACTAAAATATCATTGAATTTGAATAATAAAATCAACCGATAACCTATATACTTATAAATGTATAATATCTTTTTTTGCCAACTAGAGAAACCAACATATCGTGCTAAATTATCATACTTACCGTTTGATAATGTAATATATCAAAAAAACAAGTATGAAAATGATGAACTGGTTCAGAAATCTTCTGTACCATCAACGGTAAGCTAAAAAAAACTCGACTATTTCTCACTTAAGTTATTTTTGTCATAAATTGTTATCACAAACTATGCAAATAAATATTATAACACTTAAAATAAAACTATTATAGTGAACAAAAATACGAGCGGGGAGAACCGAATGTATTTGACACGAAATTACAGAGCAACTCACTAAAATTTGAGATTCATATAGTAAACGTCAGAAAATCCAATTTTCTACTCATTGGGATATTACAAATATATTATTTTTATTTATAACAATGAACCCAATGCTCAATTTATTCGAAATTATCAAATCAAACCTTGGTAATGACACCTACATATAGTAAATAGTTAATTTACAAAATATCAATCCATCGTCTCAAACTTGACCGTTCCTTATGCGAATATCAGTCCATTGTCTCAGATTTTATTGTTCATGCATTTTCATACCAACTGCGTTCCATTTCAATTCTTTCCTTCTCGACCTTCTACTGAAATACATTCTATGCCTGATCACCGTCCTATGCTACTTATGTGAGTATAAGTAACCCACACCTTGCTATAAGTGAATTAGCCTTGAACATAACTATTCTTTGTCGATAATAATTACTCTATATTTTGGATAAAAAAATTAATTATGATTAAATAATTCATAAGAAAATAAGAAAACGGTTAACATGGATGTTGTTTTTCTTTTATTTCTAAACATGTAACAGCAACTAGCCAAAATGAAAAAAACGATACCAATCTAATTTAAATAAATCATTAAATGAAGATAGAGAGATAAAATGTTCTTTCATAAACGATCATAAGTTAATAAACAAACTCTTGAAAATATGAATAGTTGAATATACATTTACATTTCTGACTTCACTTGTTGTTGTTTTACTTGTATCTTCCCACTGTTGTTTAGCATTGTAATTGACCAGTCTCTTGTAGGTGTATGTGCAACCTATGTGGACTGCCTCGATATGGACTTAAGTCACAAACATTTGAAGCAAAGAGGGATAGTTACTAGCATTCGAACCCAGTTTGACTCGCGTTTCTTCCTATATGGAACTCGCCAGTTACATCCAGTTTATGAGTCCGAAATAGGACAAAACATACGTCCTAGATCCCACTGCTAGCCACTATCCATCTTTGCTTAAATATACATTTTTGTGAAAGTTTAATTAATGAATATAAAGTGACTGAGGCTATGATTGTCAGAAGAATAGATAAAACTTTATGATAAATTATTCTATATATAAATACAGTTATCTCAAGGCGCTCATATTCAAAGTTAATTGAGTACAGAAAATAAATCCTAACACCCTGTTTAGAAGCTAGGATGATAGTTAGTGCTCAAACTTAAAGGATATGATACGTTTAGACTGATATCATGAATGAATCAATGTTAGACCACCACTGAAAACCTAGAAGCAGTGGACGGCCGTTTCGTCGCAGTATAAGACTCATCACCAGTACGCATCCACGACCCGCATGTGGTGGTCGAACCCAGCACCTTCGGTTTCACGCATAAACGCTTAACCTCTAGACCACTGAGCCGATATTCAACGGTGTTAATATCTAAATTCAATCAATCCACGAAATTACGCTACCGTTCACTAATGTCTCCAGAGAATACTGCCTCTCAGCAGACACGGTTGAATTTCACTGGTCACGGCTTCCCACTAGAACTCCAGGAAATCCATCTTGAAGCCAATTACTAATGATCACATGAGAATTATCAGTATAGCCATTAGACAAATCAAGAGTGAGAAAACAGCAGAACCTAGAAACATACCAGCTCAAGCACTAAAGTCAGACATAGAGGTAACTACAAAAGTGCTCCACCTTCTATTCAGGAAGATTTGAGGAGAGGAACAAGTGCCGATAAACTGGAAGGAAGGATATCTCATCAATATACCAAAGAAAGGAGGCCTGAGCAAATGTGAGAACCACAGAGGCATCACACTACTTCCAGTACCAGGAAAGGTTTTCAACAGTATTGCTGATTATTTATTTATTTATTTGAACACATTTATATTGGTACAGCAGTGAGCCAAATATATATGCGCCACACAGAGAATTCCGGTATATTGGTTATCGCCAAATACACTCTTCCGATCTCCTCGACTCTGTCTTTTGATTTCTCTCGGTGGGAACAAAGTATATTAGAAGGTGTTACTGGTAGAAGCGTTGTCAAACACTGAATACCTGTATCATCTTCATTGGTGGAAGATCCAGTAGATCCCCAACTTCGTGATCAGTAATCTGGATTCTGTAAGGATCGGTCGTGCACAGACCAAATCGTGACACATGGGATCATCGTTGAACAATCAGTTGAATGGAACTCGTCACTATATATCAAATTTCTTAATTATGAAAAAGCATTTAACAGTGTGGATAGGTGAACATTATGGAACCTTCTTCGACATTATAGAGTGCCTGAGAAAATCGTCAGAATCATACAGAATTCATACCACAGACTACACTGTAAAGTAGCGTATGGAGGACAGTTGACAGATGCATTCCAAGTAAGGATTGAATTCAGACAAGACTGCTTACTGTCCCCCTATCTCTTTCTTTTGGTGTTTGGCTGGATTATGAAGACCTCAATATCTGACGGGAGACATGAAACACAATGAATAGCTTGGATGCAGTTGAACAATTTGGACTTTACAGATAAACTGGTCATTCTGTCGTATACACATCAACAAATGCAAGTGAAGACAAGAAGTGTAGCAGCAGCCCGTGTATCAGTAGCCCTCAACACACACAAGAAAAAAGCAAGACCCTCAAATACGACACAGAGAACACCAACCCAACCATACTGGATAGAGAGGCCTTTGAAGAGATGAAAACTTTCACGTACCTGGACAGCATCATCGATGAACAAGAAGGATCTGATGAAGATGTGAAGGCAAGGATTGATAAAGCATGGACAGCATTTCTACAATCGGACAATAAGTATTTATAAATGATTGTGTACGAAAGACACTCAATATCCGTTGACTGGACATTATCAGCAACAGCCTGCTGTGGGAACAAACAAACCAGATTCCAGCTGAAGAGAAAATTAGGAAACGTTTCTGGGGGTAGATAGGACAAACATTGTGGAAATCAATAGGCTGCAAGACGAAGCAAGCCCTAACTTGAAATCTAAAAGGCAAAAAAGAGGCAGAAAAAAGTACACGTTGAGCCGGGAATCGAGGTAAGATAAGAAAAGAATAAATTTCAACTGGGAAGGATTGGCCAAAAATGAGTTCGAAGGACAATGCTGGTGGACTCCCTCACGAGAAGTAACACTTGTAAGTGAGTAACTCACTTATATTAACATATGTCACTACCTATTTAGTTGTTTTTATTCAACTCAAATACTAACTTAAAATTTGATGAGAACGTATGAATATTTATATTTATCTAATCTGTTATCGTATGTTTCATAAGTATTGTATAATATAATCACAATATCACGACCATACAACATAAGTTCAGTAATTGGACAGGCATGTTCGTCCCCTATGTCGAATATCGTACTTTATCCAAAAGAATTCAAGAACATTGCCCGGCGTGGCTAAGAAGAGGAGGCAGCGGCTAAATAAGAAATTCTATAATCGAACACCTTGTGAACACAGGTCACTCAATCAAGACAGACTCTGCGTTCAAAGTCATCTACAAGCTAAGTAGAAGCCTTCCTAAGACAATTAGACTGCATCTTCTTTGCATTGCCGAGGCAATAGCCATACATTTTGAAAAACCAGAATCATGTGTACAAAAGAGACTGGTACAACCTCTTCTTTTATCATGGTCTTAATGTATTAAAAATTTTCTCTTTCTTCATACTCTTGTTCTTTTACAGCCACCTGCTTCACCTTCCATCTTCCCTTTAAATCTTGTACCCCCAACCGGTTTGTTTTTATTTCACGATCATTCGATTACATTTCATCTCTGTTCCAACATTTTATGTTATTTTATCATGCTGAGCTACCCTTATCCGATGAATACCTAAGCCGTTAACTATCAAACTTTCCTTGTTTTAAAATTTTTTTTCTAATACCTTTATTTATTTAACCACACTGTCACCATGTATAACAAGTTTATTATCAGTATTATTATCACCCTGTAAGAATATCGGATTGTATAGATACTACTGTAAGTAACCATTATAATTCATTTAGCTTTCAATACGATAACATTCCTGATTTTATATTGATTTAATTTTATTGTTTATATATAGGCATTTGGAAATTCAAGTGACTTTACAGATAAATTAAACGTTTCTCCTACACAGATCAAAGAGTCGTGTCAATCCTGGTCGTAAGTGTGCTTTTACATTATAGTACATTATTTATTCGCAGTGTCCTTTTATTTTTTGTAACTGTGTAAGTTACTTCATAGCCTTATAATAGTTAAGAGTGGGAATACTATTTATCTGGGAATATGTTTGGCACCTAATGGCTCCACTTAGATCAATTTGTACTTTAGTAAAATAACTGCGTTTATTTGATGAATGTTGCAGATGCATATTTCTCAGTGATATGTTACAATGGAAATGTAAACCCTAAGGTCAGTTATTCAAAATTCTGTTGCATATGCTAGCTTCCGAATTACTCTTTGACAGGCATTGGTTAATTATATTATATCCCAAGCAGAAGTTATGGAACACGAGTGTCTCATTTTGACAGGAATTAAATTAGATAAAAGGAAAGACTAACTGATAAATGAATGAAATACGATTCAAATTCCGTTAGCAGTCAAACCGAGAAGCATTGTCTATGAGTTATCGGCCTTTATTTATTTCTTTAATACACAAAAATGCTGGTACAGCTAGGCACCGAGATAAATATGCACCATACAAACGAAGGAACGAAATAGCGTAGATATATAAGAACGAGGAAGTACAATTAAAAAAATAAGTCAATAAAAATAAGTGAATGAGAGTAGTATGTAATAGGAGAAACAGTTTAGCTAAAATAAAGTCTAAGATTTCTTTCAGTTAATGAAGTTCCTTTCGTTTTTCATGAAGAATGTAAAAGAAAACCAATGTAAACCTCCATTAACCTTTGTTATGAGCTATGATCGATAAAGTTTCACATCACTGAGCTGTCTCTAGAACTCGGATCAAACAGTTTCTATGACCTGAAAGGTGCCAGTTTTGTTTCGCCTTCTTCCAAACCACGGTAACGTCTCATCGATTGACTAGATAATTGCTTCTTCCCCACCATTCTAGAGTGGGTAATCAATATCATACGCAAAACTATCTAAGGTGACATTCGTAGCACTTGCCTACACTACCTAAGGTGTTTCAAGGTTAAGAAACTAATTGATTTATCGTTACTGAATAAGAAAACACATCGTTAAACCTCAGTATCACTAATATAGAATTGCCACTGAATGTTAGTAACTCTTCAGCGACAACGAATAGGAGATACAGTGAGCTAACAGACATCCTCAACTCGGGTAAGACAGGTCGTCAACATAGTAACCCATAAGCCATTAATTTAGATCTTACTTCAACCGGAATTCACATTTTCAACATTATGTTCGTATCAAAAAAAGTGTAAAAAGATAAATCATAATTTTTTTTCACTGTATTTTAATTTTCATAGATTTCTACCAGAAACTAACCAACCTATTTCTAATCACCAAGATAAATGGGTCACTTTAGACAAAAACTTCGTTACAATATTAGTAACAAATCACTCTCATATAACATCTAGTACCGTAATGTATCCGGATGCTCATATCAGTGACCCATATTTAACTTTATTAATTCTGCATGAAAACACAACAAGGTTGGTATATACAAATTGTTTTATGAAAAGATTCTTATGAATTATATTTAGTTTACATCCATATAAAGTCTAAATTATATGCATTTACACAAACTGTATTATATACGAATATCAATAAAGCATATCCAATACTTGTACAATACTGTTTTAATTTCTTTATGAACTTAATACTGGAAATAAGCTTAAATAATTTTAATAGCCGGAACAGTTTTATAATTTAAAAATTCTAAATAGTGTACTACATGAAAAGTGCATCTTGAAATTAATTCTATTTAATCATCTGTATACTTTTGTATGTTTTTTTGCAACTACCTTAATTATTTCTTTGTTTTAAAAATAGATACGATGTAAAAAAAAATAGAATCAATTAATACTGCGTAATATCTAAAATTGACAATTCAGTAATATTAAAAATATCCTGTGAAAAAAAAGCAAATCTTTCAAGAACTCAAAGCAAACTAGTACCTTTTATAAATTTAGTAAGAACATTATTTACAAATTAGTATTTATTAAGGACATTTTTCTCTAAACATTTCCACTGCTCACTGAAGTTTACACTGAAATGTTTTAGCATCAAAGTATACTATAACTGTTGAACTTTGAATTTTAATTACTAAGGTAACATTAAAAAATCAAAACCATTTGTATTCTCTTCAATTATATATTAATTATCAATGTGGAGTTGTGGAGATTATTGATTTATTTATAGGAATCATGAATGGATCAATGTTTGACTTCTATTGGAAACCTGAAAAAATACTGAACGGCCGTGTTTTCCCTAGTATAGGAACACTCACCAGTGCGCAGCCACGATTGCGCACGCGGAATTCGAATTCAAGATCTTCGATCTCACTCGTAAACGCTTAAACTCTACACCACTGAGCCGGCATCCCATAGTGTTAATGTTTAACTTCAGCCAAACCAAAAAATTACGCGACTACCTTCCACTATCTGAGGTAGATAGCTGTCTTTATCTAACACGAATTAGGTCCACTGGTCACGGCTTCTCACCAGAACCCGGAGAATTACCTCACGAAGCTAGTTACTAGTGAGCACATGATAATTATCAGTACAGGGTTGGGGAGATTGTTGAATCTTTTGATTAAGATCATGAATATATTAATTGTCAGTTAATAAATGTAGGACCAAAAACATGAAACTATGTGTCTTCAAACTATGCTGACACTAAAAACATGTAAAAACCGAGTTTAATAATAACTGAAATAGGATAAACGTAATTTATATCATTAGAAGTGCACTTTTTATGATTTTGTTTTCCGTTGTTTTAAAAATTATATTTCAACAATTAGTTCTATATGTTTATCTTAGTGATCCAACAATGTAACTTAGTGTATCCGAAATTTCTTTTAAAATAGCATGGGATAACGAATTATGTTAAATACATTAGTTAACTTTCTTTTTCAATATTACATAAATAAGAAGTCGTGTAAACTACCAGAACATTTGGTCCTTCGTGTTTTCCTACATCCATCTACTGCTCTAATTTTGCCTGTTTTAAATTTATGTTAATAAATTAAGTCTCTTAACTGTGTGTATTTACTCATTTTCGTAACATGTTTTAAATCTATAGCTTGTCTAATTATTGAGAAACTGAAGTAATGCAACGATGGTAGTTCATAGAATCCCACTGAATGTATTCGATAATATAAAAGGTGTCATAGGAGCAAAACTTACTTTAAACATTTACGAATAAATGAAAATAGAAGAATATTATGGTCTAAAAACGTTTTGAATATCCACAAATTTAGTGCATATAAAATGAAAATTTGCCAAAAACTTGTTTATTTAGTACTCAGAATTCTTTACTGTAATCACATAGTTGATATTGAATAAAACGAATATAATATTTAGTTTGATTCGCATTTTGAAGTCATAAAATAACTAAACATTTTAACATTCTACAAAATCCTTGTTTTGTAATCTCCGTATGAAGCAATATATTTCATACTGACATTAGTTTTAGTTCATTCTATTTTTGAATGGTGAAATAATCATGCAATTACCTTAAATGTTGAAAGTTCTGTTTTATAATATTATTCACAATATAAGATATTAGTTATTTTGGAGTAAAGCAATCCACAATTATATCTAGTTCACTATGAGAAAGTTACTCCAGTCGAATTGTTTATGAATACTAGTTTAATGTGAATATAGTTAACTTTGTAAATTAACATCAGCTGGGTAACTATATAAGACAAGAAAATTCAAGAAAACGGTTTCTTGTTAGTGGAACACTCTTTAGAAATACATTTGTTTATATGAGGAGATTTAGAATTGTCCTAGAAAGTCATGAAACCAATAAGACATACTAAACAAGTCAAGTATCGATTAGCATTCCAAATAAAATTTGGGAAGTAACACCATAACAAATCTTTTATATAAGGTATTGGTTTCATAACGTATGCGTTAGGCCAAATTCACATCATTATTTTATTTTTACGAAATTATATTTTAGATTTGATTTGTTAGCTTTGGGACTAGCAATGTCAAATGGTCAAGGCCTACAATCAACATCAAACATGGATATTGTAAAAATTTGTGCTCTACGAATAGAACCGTATTCTAAAGATTCAGTCATCACAATGCTGGACGGAGAGCTCATGCCTTCAGGCACATTTCAAGCAGAAGTTATCCCAGGAATTTTAAATGTTATTTCAGGTACCAAGGTTGTATGAACTCCATATTATTTCAGGTAATACTTATTACTGCTATAAGAAACTTGTCGCTTAGCCTGTAATTATACGTTGATTTATGAAAAATATGATTTTATGACAAAAAGATTAGGTAGAGACTAATGCTGTCTTCAATCAGTTAACTACTAAAAATAAAAAAATAAAATTGTGGGAGTTATTTTTAAAAATATAAAAAACTAAACGTTCGGAGTATTGAACGAAAAATATTATTCAAATAAAAGTAACATTAGCAAACTGATTTCAGTAATGAAGCTTACCGAAGTAACCGATCTTCTTCCAGTACTCTTAAAAGTCTTAACATTTTAAATGAATAATTGAGGATAGATGCTTCACATAATATCATCAAATGTCTGCAGAACTACTGTTTTCCTCTAGCAAACTTAGTGACAAATATTTTAATGAATCTGTATTTACGTGCTGAATTTGCAATTAATAAAAAATAAACAAATAGAGGTTATTTGTCATTCATCTCTTGTTTATTTGCCACAACTTCCGATAAAATTTTATATAATGGCATTTAGTTCTAAAATTTTATTGACAACTCAATTCTTGGTTCAGCAGACCAACGGCCAATACGGCAAAGTATTCTCATTCCCCCTAACGCATATTAAAATTATTGAAAGACTATTCACAGTAGTTACAGTGTGTTGTGTTATGTCCGATTTTCAAAATGAATATAATATTTCATGTTGGTGATTGAAAACAGGATTACATAGTGAAGAATTGTGTATAAGAATGAAAAATTGCTGATTTCAATACTGGATCCAATAAACATTTTCCTATTCATAAACATTAAAAAACTTATTGTTTGATTTTGATCAACTGAAGCACACATAGCATATTTTCTATTAACTATGCTATACTGTTCAACAAAAATCCGTTACTAAGAGTATAGTACCAATAAAAACAAGAAATAGCACCGACTAAATAGAAAAGCATTTCAAATGCTTACTTATTCTAATGCAATTTGTACTTGAATCATAAACTAATACCACATTTTTTCGCGCTCATTCATGGTTACCACTTGAATGAATTATGTTATGAATGGTATAGTGACTAGAAAATAACATTTAAGCATACGGACGAGTGAATAACAGATTTTTTAGATATTTAAAAGAAAAACAGAACTTTTAATAAAAAATAACTTTCATATCTTAAATCCTGTTTTGCATACATCGTTGCTTGCATACAAATAGTATATTTTTAAGATAATTTTTTTTATTATACTTGGTATCGTTTACTTGAATCTTCCCATCGATGTTTAGAACTGTCGTTGATCAGTCTCTTATTGGCATATGTTCATATTGTGCATATTGCCTTGATATTGCCTTAGTTCAGAAACATTATAAGCAAAGATATATAGTGGTTAGCAAAGGAATCCAAAACATGAATTTCATCCTATTTGGGACTTGCCAACTGGATGAACTTTCATTCTAAGGTTGTTATCTGAAACGAACAATATTGGGTTGAAGTCTCAGAGTGAATAACAAATCTGAGATATAAGTACATCCAGATGACGAGCTTTAATTAGGATGAAACTCCTTTCCTGGATTCCCCCAATAGTCACTATCCATTTTCACTTACAATTTTTCAATAATTCTTTAAATAATCTAAAATTAATTATTTATTTTTACATTTTTATCTTATTTCACAGAATTTCATTTTATTTATTTGAAATGAATCAGAACTTAATCAACGACGTATTTTTCTTTTCTAACTAAAATAAAACAAAAAAATTATTTTTTCTTTTAAATTTATAATTTTTCTTGCACACTATTGAATATTGTTCATTTTAATATTGTTGTTGTTGTCCTTTTTTTATCAATGTTGGGCAGAGTTTTAAACTTTCTCTATTTTAATTTATTTCAATGATGAATTAAGACAAAATAATGAAAAATTAATTTTTTAATTTTGTTTTTCTGATGATTATTACAAAATTTGTTTTTATTTTTATTTTTATTTGTAAAAACTTAAATTTTAAAAGAATTAATTATTTAATATCAGATGGTTTATGTGGATATTTATAGTAATTTCAATGGTTAAGATCATGAGTCAATTGGAGCTAGACCCCGATGGAAAACCGTCAAGTGCTTCCGGGTTTCCCATAGTGGTCTAACTTCAATTAGCTCATGATCTTAACCATTGAAATTATTTATTTGTAAACTAATATTTTGAAGATATTTATTGATATTTACTACTTATTTATCATAATTAATTTAAAGTTTGAAAAAATGTTTAAGAGTTAAATAAATAAAAAAAGACGTACATTTGACAAGTGATTGATTAATATCTTGTTTGTTTAATCTTTTAATATGGACTGAATTCTATCAAATAAACTGTAATGTAATCACAGGCTCAATGGACTCTAGTTTACAATGTGATCGATAGAATTTGATTAAAACGAATTTTAAATTTCTCAAAAATACAAAAGATCAGTTATTCCATGAAATTCCTACACTATACAAATGGGTGAATTAGGTTAAAATCCCATAGAAAACAAAAATTCATTCAGGATTATAAGCAAGCCTCATTAAGAAGTGCCAACTAGTATGAAATGTATGTTTATCTCCAAACACCAACTGCCTAATATATATATTTGATTTGATAAAAATGTTATATGCATAAGTGACAACAGTATTTCTATTTTTCAACTGAAAATTTCAATCCACTGCAAATTTGAAGTTGCTTGAATTGTAGGCATTTTTATTATAATGCTCAATGATTATAAAATAATAGTTTGTTTGAATCGAACTAAATCGATTTTGGAAAGTATGGTAAATAATAATATTTTAGATGATTGATTAAAAGCAATATTATCAAGACACACCCACTTTTTAACTATTTTCATTCAATGAAGTTATACTAATGAATGATCTAGATTGTTGCAATTTAACTTGAGAGTTTTGAATGGCATTTTCTGTTCGACAGTGAATTGAAACTTTTACAAATTTATAAATCATCACAGAACATTTCTCTATTCTTTCTTGGCTTTCAATGTTCCTCTTTTCAACTTTCTTAATATATATAAATATACTACAATATCTATAATTAATCAATGAACGCGTTCGTTTTCGAATTGTTAGAATGACATAATTCAATTTCAAAATATCTATAATAAAGAATTGATTTTTGGACTTTGTTCACCGGTAAAAAGTATTTAAAATGGTGCCATCTTTATGACACAAGAAAAAAATTTTAAAAAAAGTTATACTCAACGCACAAATGGATTATATTTCTCAAGTTTCAATCGAAGTGAACAGCAAAAAGAAGTTCAAATAGATAGTAAACGATAAACTTTGTGAAATGATTTTAAAAAGATTGGAGAATTTTGACGACAAATTCAGTTCTTGGTAACTATAGTATTTTTTTAAAAAAATGACATATATCACACGACGTAACTAATATGTAGTTAACAATAACATCTTAAAAATGCATACGAATACTGTCAGAGTAATATAAACATATCAAGATGCATATTTCATTAGCATAAAATTATTTAGTTGTACCAATGATTATGATTATTTGTATAGTCAGATGTGGTACGATTTTTATTTTATATGGATAAAGTAATAATCGATTGAATTTGAAGAATTCAAACAAGAGAACCGGTATATATATATTTTTTCAAATCTGTTAACAGTTATCTGTTAGTGGTATTCATTACTGAATATCCGTTATTGAGAAAGTGATAGTCTGTTTAAAACAAAACACCAAGTGTTTTGATTACAAAAAATGAAAAGCTTAAGCGAAGGAGTATTGTTTTACTAAACTTATAAATAGGTGCCCCCAAAGGAAAATTACATAAATTCTGGGATTATTATTATCAATAAATAAAATTATCATTAATAATTGTTGCAATTAATGTATATTTTTGGTTACAAAGTTTGAACAAACGATATTCAATGTAAGAAATCATTTTCATCTTTCATTCTATATAGTCAAGTTTTGTCGACGAATATACAACTATACTAATCATTCAAAATATTATGATAAAATTATATTATTCACCAAAGCAACCAGTAAACAGGCCATAGATTTTAAGTATTTGTTTTTTATCAGACAAGGAAGAATACATGGGTTATGCTATCGAAATGTATGCTCATAAAGTTACAATAAGGTCAAATGTATCATATGTATATATAATGATTGTCGAATGTACCAAAAACTTAGACTGTTTGTTTATTTGTTTGTTTTAAAAACATATCTTTACAAATATTCATTTTATAAATCAACAAAACAAACTAGATCATTTTAAAATGATGGTCGATTCAATCAGAATAACTTTGTTACACATAAACCTTATATATTATTTGTTTGATAACTGAACTAAGTAAAATCTTATTTTACAGACAGAATTATCTTATAACAATAAACATAATTTTTTTTATCAAAAAATATATAAATTTAAAAATGAAACTATGAGCCATTTTCGATTGAATAAAATTTCAATAAATTTTCAATGGTAAATAAGATAATCAAAAGTAACTATACTCAAATAATGGAATTACATCTTTAAGCGTTGCCAATAGAGATACGAAATTTAGTTTTTGACTAGATATTGATTATTCTTCAATGTCAGAAAGATAGTGAATATGATCTAAATAGACCTGTTGCCAGTTAAATCAACCTCATTCAAATAACACTAAAATGAATGAAGTGATTGGTACACTTATGATCATTATAAACAATCTAGTATGTGCATATATTTTGAATAGATACTTTTGTAAAGCTGGTATGTAATCGTTCTCAGTTATTAAACTTTTAAATATTTAAATCAGCTCCCATGTCTACAGAAATGATCATGAAATCAAGAAATTGGTAATTAATAGGTGATCACTAGTTCTTAACCACTTATTTAGGTTTGTTCATTTTATTCACAGATGATGGTTCAAAGATAGATTTAGATAGCAGTATAACATCCATTAATGGATTTGACACTAGGATTTAATGGTCTACTGCTAAATCCATGTGACCTAATCAATTGTTATGTATTGATCTCACTTCGATAATGATCAAAGTATCAGTATCTTCAGTTATCAATCGAGCATAAAACCTCAAGGAATAACAGTTGTTTATTTCAGAATGTGAAATGCCTTTATTAACCTATTAGCTCATTCCTAGACCGCTGTCTAAGTAGTTTTAGATTTTCTAGTTTACTTTTGGATTTATTTAGTTCTCTTTAAAAACAGTCGGCTATACGACAATATCATGATGTTTAATGACAAGAATTTTGAGTTATGGTAAAATCTATTCAAAAGTCAACCTGCAAGTTCGCTGGTGAGGATAAACTCCACTCTCGATCAAAATTTTCACCTTGCACCGGGCAGCCAATCATAGTGAAGTCGTAATCAATGATGAATGATTTGTTTCGTTCTCTGTTATTTTTTCTGGCTTACATGAAAATGTAAAGATTTTTACGACGGAAGTACCATTCAATCATGCCACGGACGTGTCAATAGTAAAGGACTCAGTTATGATGGAAGAAATAATAACCTTTGTTATTGACTACGATACACTTTGATAACCTGACAAAGTTCAGTTTATCTTCAACTGAATTCGCTATACGTAATGTTATTTTTGAATAAACGCAAATTAGCATGAGAACGAAAGTATAATTTGAAGATGAACAAATTAGAACTTTCATATTGTGTAACACGTATATATGATGTGAACAATAATAATGTATTATGAAGAAGACTTATGAAAGTCAAAATTTTATCATCCTCCCTGTCTATCAGTCAGTATCAACTTCTTACAAATTATAAATACACAGGCGAAACTCAACAAATGTCAATGGAGCTACCTACAGAATCGTTTCTCTACATTGTGATTTAATTCACTACACAAAAATCGTTTTACATTGGCAGATGAGAAGATTAACTTATATGAATTGATCAATTTTTTTATTAGTAAATGCAAAGTTTCATAGACCCTAGGCTTTAAAATAACATTAATTTGGAAATCTCTTCATATAAACTTAAAAATGTTATATTAACTGAATACATAATAATTAGTTTCGTATGCAATCTCGACTGAATACCGAAATTCAAGTTGATAACGACTAAACAAGTTGTGAACTGATTTATGTGATGTAAAAACTGGCTTATCTGTTATCTTTGCATCAATAAAGTAGTTATATATGAAGATAATCAGTTGGTGACATAATTTGTCGTTCACAATTTCTATAGTTTAAAATTTAAACAAAGCTGAACAGATTATGAACGTGACGCACACTCGATAGATATGTCGATTCAGTGAATTTATTACTTATTAAACGGATATTAAAAACAAACAATAGTTTTTCTTGAGTTATCATGAACTTCCGCACATATTTAAAACTTACTATACAGTGAGTAGAAACTCATCTGAAAATATCCTTGGGAATTATGAACGCATTTTTAAAAGTAAACTATATACTAGATAATCAGGATAAATCAGAATAAGATTAAGTGGATTCAAACAAAATTGTAAATCGTAGTCCGTCGAGTTGATTATATGATTGACTGGTTCATCTTCAACACACTGATCAAGCTACCGAAATTCGTATTCAGAAACCTAACTTTTATACTCAAAATAACCTCTACCTTGATCATCGACACAGATTAAATAAGCGAAGCCTACAGCAGAACTATGATTTATATTTTCTAAGCTTATTTTACATTTGCGTTCTAGTATAATTTTAAGATTAGTCTCTTTCGTCTTACGTTAATATTATTAGATTTACTTCAAATCAAAATAGATTGCAAATTCTATCTTTGAATATTATGTAACTTAACAGCCGTTAAATTACATATTTTCAATTTTTACAAATAATTATCTTGGTTTATATAAATATTCGTCAGTATTAGTACGGACAGTTTGACAAAAATTGGGCGCCGAGTATACAGAAGACATTATATGCTTGACCTGAAGAAGTCCAGATAAGTTCGCTAAACGAAACGTCGGAATTATTTAAATTTAAATCACTGAAATTATTTCAAATATAATTTTCACATATAAATACCTTGATTGTTTGTAATTATCTTATCCACCTCTTGTTAGTTACTTAGTTATTTGAAGTCAGTCTCGTAATTACTTGTGATGCCATGATATCATTATGTAACACTATAACTGGAGTAGTGTAGAGTCATGATGAAAACTAATTAAAAGAATAGATTTTACTGTTCTTCTAAAGGATGAAATGAAAATTATAATTCAGATCTCAGTTTACACTAACTACCAGTTACATGATATCCAAATCAATAAAAGAAATAATTTAAAAGAAACTGTATATTTATAGGGAAACATTTATGTTAAATTACAAATTGAAATTAGATGTCTGTTTATAAGTACATAGATATTTATCGTATTTGCATGTAATATATGGATGCCTAAATTAAAGTGCCCAGTTGACTTAATGTATAGTTCATATCTCTTCTTAGTCTGCATACATAACATGAAGAACACCATATCCATTGACAGCAGTCTGAAGCTATTCCACCCTATAATGAATATAACAACAATTAATCAACATGAATTTATAGCTGTAATCTAAAAAACATTTTTTTAAAGTGAAATATTAATTTATGACTGTTAACTTATCGGCTCTTTAAAGAATCACCTGACATTGCTGCTTGATATACGCTGATGATGATGGCAGCTGGAATCAGTGGAATAGATTTCTTCTGACCAAAGAGAATCACTCACTCACTTGCTTCTTCAGAAATGTCCATTTTATTTACAAAAGATGATTTTATAGTAGATATTTTCCATAATAAAGTATTCAGTGGACCGAGTTTAAGTTGAATAAAACCTCATTACCTTATTATTGGAATTCAACTCTGAACGTTCGATTATTGTATATTTTACAAAGTTTATAGCAAACCGTTTAATAAATACGTGCAAAGGTCAATTCTTTAATAAACGGGTTTTAAATGCAGATAAATGTATCATAAAGGTTTCAGTCTCGGTTCATTATTCATTATGTATGTACTCACTAATAACGTTTATCCAGGTACCTTTTAAAAATATGCCTGTCTTTACTTTCCAGGGTGCGTTGTACAGCTTATTTATTGCATATTTGAACGCTAATATCCAAATCTAAACGGTAGTTTATACAGTGATTCGTAAAACATGCCAAAATTTAAACTCTAACCATTCATTATGTTTGTCTGCAAAATCATTATGAATGGAAGATGAGGCCATAAATAATAGACAAACCATAGAAGTCAAAGATAGCAAGTCTTGGATTTTGGCTCAAAGTTCATTTACTCATACTCTTAAATAGAATTTTAGCATTAATGTTGATTTCAGTTAGTGTCTAGTTACTAACCTTAACTTCCAACTCCAAATCCTAATCTTGATTCCTCATACCCTAGAAAATAGTTGAATTTTTTTCAAGGTTACTATAGCATCACTAAAAGATGATCCATAAATTATGGTGTTATCGAATGGAATATAATATTCCTAATACATTCATTATCAGAATTCTTTTGTTATCCCATGATCATGTTTTACGCAACGTTCACAGTTTAAGAATTAAATACAACGTTAATGTGGGATATTTTAAAATGGGATCACAAACTATTGAAATCAAATGGCAAGATCTAACTTTTTATTTATAAAATCTTTTAATATTCCATCGATTTTTCTATGAAATAAAGTGTGTTTTGGACTTTTTTTCTCTTTCCTTATAAACTTCATGAATGATCCACTGTTTAAAAAATGGCATTAGAATATCTTGGATTTCTGTAGTCACATTATATTTGAATTCCAATGTTTGTCTTTACATTATTAAACGAATTCTGACATTCAATTCATACTTTAATCTCAATGTATTTTGCCCTTTTATCACTTGACAAAGGTTTTTTTGATACAAATAAATGAAACCTGACAAAAGATACTGCTAAATTCAACATTGCACATTTATTAAAGCGATGTATGCTGTATGTAAAGATAAAATATTTTCATTTCCATAAGTATTTCAACGTTATTATTGAGGCTTAACAAGCCATTTTAATCTCTTCATCATTTGTAAAGTGCTTTCTTGTTATTAGAATATGTATATGCAGCTCAAAAATGCTCTATCAACTATCCATCGAAAAAGGATGTTCAGGTTCTTTTAAAACCACATTTTCTTAAATTAATTTTGCTTTGTTTCTATTTACTTGATATAAAAGTGATTAATTAGGCATCATAGTTATTTTAGATAACATCCCTTATCTGTTTGTATCGTGAGAAGTACTTTCCTAACTAAAACTGATAGGTGATATGAGTTTAGAATGTTTCCACTTACACTCAAAGTTAAAGTCTGGTTGGATAATTTTTCTTGTCATTATTGTATGAACTAAGATTGATATCAATAATCTTGAATAATGATTCATAATTGAGAAAAGTACAACACGATAATAAACTCACTTTAATTCTTTGACGTGCACGATGTTGTGTTCCCAGTACAAATTCAGATGCCGGTACGATTAATGGCGCACAACAACATTCTCCATAATCACGATACATTAAACATACTGAACATGAATAACAGAAAAATACACAACAACCTAGAAAAAAAGTGAAAAAGTTATTGTGTAATTATTAGGTTGGAAGAATAAACAAATACCTCCAGTTTTGTGCTGCTTAATTTCGATCTGCTAAATATACATTTATCATATGCATGGGTATAGCTTTTGTGGCTCCAAATCTGACTCCAGTTTGATCATGTAAATGATTGTTACTGAAATATACATGTCGACTATCCTAGTATATAATTATTGACCTAATCCACGTTAGTGAATAATGGAATTAAATAAGTTGAATACGAGAATGGATTTTCGAATACATGTATTTTGTACACTCATTGATCTGGACAGATAATCAGAGGAACAAAGCGAAGGAAGCAAAGAGAAAAGAGCGGGGCTAAATGACGCGTGAACCAACTCAATTTAATCAAACATGAACCAATATTTATAGCCAGATAAAAATAAGTTACAGACATGTAATGTATAGGATAAGAAATGAACACACGCATACGCTCACATAGAAACAATCAAGGTTGATAAGTGAATCATTGACAAGGTTAAAATGTAGCTTGGGTAGAATAAATAGACTGATCTCTCCAAAGGCTGGAATAATCTATGTAGGCTTAACATAATATCTGACATTATACATCTTACCACTACACATTGTAGGATAATAAGGAAGATAAAATAAAGTTAAAAATTTAAGCTGTAAAGTTTAAAAGTAATTTATCACAAAAAATAATTGCTCTCTTCATTCAATACAAATAAAGAAGTTACTTGAAAGCCAAAAATGATCCAACATCTGTTTAACTTTTAATTTTCTAGCCCAATAAAAGAAAAGAATGGTATATAGTAGTAATTTCAAGCAGGTGATTGAAATATCTTCCGAATAATGTAAAGAAAATAATCCAGTCTGATGATAAAACACACTGTGTTCTCAGTATTATATAAACATAGAAATTATATAATTACTGAGATAATAAAGATAATGTATTACATACTCGCAACATTCAATTACAGGTCATAACCTGAGCACTTAATTTAATTTATACCATATAAATATCTGATTGTCATTTGATAAACGGTAGATGTTTTGTATTTACTTCGGTAGTTGATAGTAAAATATTTGTATACTTTGATATAAGTAAATTTCTTTACTGGGTTCATTCAGACGTCTTCATCCAACATAATCAACCTCCGAATTACAAATGTATTCTTTGGTACAATCATTTAAAAATGATTACTCATTTATTCATTACATGCTTCTTAGTCTGAAGTAAACTATCCGTGATTTATTGCCTTACAAGTATCTATTCGACACTTTCAAAACTACAAACCTAAATTAATAGACTAAAATTAAAAAAGCAATTGATTACTTCTTATTAGAGGTAATATAAACATTTCAATGTGCCGTATATCTAACAGATATATTTTTTTCATGCATCATAAATACACTAATTTCAGCCGTGTCATTTATGTTACTGAATCATCGGATTTGGCTGATTAACTGATATTAGTAAATAAAACAATTAAATGTATGGACTAATACGAATGAAATCAAAGTAAACCATTTGAGTTCTTGGAGAAAGATTTGTTGTTATTGATTACATGATTACTTTCTATCAGTAACCCGCATAAATAAACACTTAAAAGTTATCGTTGATAAATTAAAAGACTGTTTTTTGTATATTGAAATTACATTCACATTAAATTTACATTGTTCTATACATATATTTCATATACAATCAGTAGAACATAGAGCAATAATACAATACTATTCTGCATAAGATATTAAATTGCTTTACATATAAATATAAAAGAAATTAGGATAATTATGTTGATTGGCTAATCATAGTATATTAGAAATGCAAAGTTCAGAATTGTTCATCAAATAATATTTATATATAACTACTGAACTTTATCTAGTTTAGTTCATTGACACTAATGAAACTAACATTTAACGAAGAACATCTGTTGAACCATTTATTTATTGAAATAGCCCCCAAATGCCCTGCTACGGCCGAGAGTGGGGAGAGTCCGCTCTCCTTCTCGAAATGCTCTCACATGGCCACGCGTATATAGCCTCTGCCAGGGAAGTCATACTCATTGCCTTCTCGTGGCTGGGGTGTTGTTTACGAAAATGAGAAGACGAAAAGCGAATGTCCGACGCTTCAACCGGATCCCAAACCAATGGTGCACATGGGCTCCAGTATCCTGCGGGAACAAATGGCGTATGAACCAATTGTTGGTCACCGGTTACCATGGGGCTGTATCTCCTTACGTTGCTCAACTGCCTTGTGGATCAGACCATTAAGTCGTAGGCTCCGGGTGTGGTCCTCTGAGAAAACCACCTGCTTCGGTTTGGGCACCCGTACAGTATCACAGCCCTTACATATATCAAATAAGATCTGTGTGGCGCATATGTAATCGGTGCCTCCTTGTACCAATATCTATGTGTTAAAATAAATAAATAAACAAAATATTTACCGCCATAATATTCACTATTGAAACATGTTGTAATATTGAATTTTTACTCAGTAATTAGTTTCCATATTTATTATTTTAAATATTCTACATTGACTACTCGAATCAACAAAGTTAGTAAAGAAAAAGAATCTTACTTTCAATAAACTGATAGTCAGACAATAAGTCGAATACTTTTAATAATTCCTAAGTCACAATGTTTGTTATTTACATGATTTCAGCTTTAGCGCATATTTAAAATCTAAATATGATGGATGTGATCCAGAACAAAAATAAACAGATTCACATATGCTACATAAAAAGAATTTGTATCTCATTTTAAACATTCATATGAGTTTAGTATGCATTTTGTTTTCTATTAAATTAGAAGATAAAACATCAATGGATAATAGAAATTAATGAATCCCAAGATATATGTTTCATACTATTTAAGGTTAATCATTAATTGAAGTAAATATCATTACTAGAATCAACAAACTGACGAATTTCAAATAAAATGTAACAGACTTCTTGAGTTTTACTACTACTCATTAACTATCTTTACTTAGAAACTTAAAACTGAATAAATACAACAAAGTAATATTGTCAAGATATCAATATTGTCAAAAGATCCTAATGAAAATTCAATCAATAACATCAACTACAAAAAGATTCAAAGACTTACAGATAACTAATAAATAATTTCAGAAAGGTTTTTTTTAGATATTATAGTTATTTCAATAGTTGAAACCATGAGTTAATTGGAGCTAGATCACCATGAAAAACATGAAAGCATTGATCAACCGGTTTCGTCCTACTGTGAGACTCCTCAGGAGCACGCATCCACGATCCCACCCCACAGGATTTGAACCCAAGACCTATCAGTCTCGCGCGCGACCACTTAACCACTAGACCGTTATTCTAGTGCTTCCAGGTTTCCCATGGTGGTTTTGATTCAATTGACTGATGATCTCAACTATTGAAATTAATCAATAAATCACTGTTTGAAATAAATATATGTGCAAATATAAACGTCATTTCAAAAGTTAGAAACTAATCATTGAAGTATATTGATTAAGAAAATTTTATAGATCGAAATTGTTATACATATAACTGGCTGATAATTAAATCATAGATATTTACTTAATTTAGCAATATCATTAAAAAAATATGAATTGAAATATCTATTAAATTCACTAAATACGTAATACAATCTGATAATTAATTATTAGATACTTCAATAGTTGAGATCATGAATCAATTGTAGCTAGATCAACATGAAAAACCTGCAAGCGTTGGACAACCATTTCGTTCTATTGTGGATATTTGTAGATATTTGTCAAATGGACTATTATCTGACCAATAAATTATTTCTTTTCATAGTCCTTGATTAATAGATAACCTCATTTGTTATTTCTATCCTCTTATAGATATATATTTTTCATATTAGATAATTTATTGAAATCTGATAACCAGTTATGAATAGATCAATTTAGATAAATAAATTCTTGATATTCATTAATGATTTCATTAGTAAAAGTTTAAGCTGATCAGTTAAATTCATCTTTCATTTTCTTATATCATTCACGATAGACAATATCAAATGGATTAATTTGTTGACATTTAACTCGTGTTTTATAAATAAATGTGGTCACCTTTCATTTAAGATCATTATATCAGTATGCTTTATCTTGACTTGCTTCTTTTACTATAAACACGATTTATATGTTTCTCAGCAATATGAATACGACAGATATTATTAATAGAATTGGATGTTCATTGAACAAAATAGAAAAAAATATAAATAAATGTATCTAAAAATCAATCACGTTAGAGCATCAACTGTCATGTTCACCACTTACAGCAATAGACAGCAATAGATCTGTACAGTAGACACTCTAAGTCAGGAGCTTGAATTTATCAACAACTCACTGACCGAGATCGGCTACCCCAGCGCGTTCATTAGGAAGTACATGCATGATATAATAAAAAAGTCGGAGATTTCGACTGTTCGTAAGAAACCTTTATACATGAAAGTGCAATTCAACGGGGATGTGGCTAGTGACACTCTGAAATATAGATTAACCAAAGTAATCACCAGGACATTCTACGCAGCCAATCTGGCGTTGACCTTCTCTTGTCGACCAGCGATGTCTACTCAAACGAAGGATAAGTTACCTGAGTTGGCCTCTTCCATGTGCATTTACAAATTCAGCTGCTCCTGTGGAGATAGCTATATAGGGCGTACTACCAGGCAACTTAACCAACGAATGAGTGAACATCTACCAACTTGGTACATAAAGGGCCAGAGGAAATCTATTCGGAGTTCTATATTGGCACATCTTATTGATAGCGGTCATGCAGTAGATAAATCGAAATCTTTTCGAGTTATCTATCGTATACCTCCATCATTTCCCGACGGAGTCCGTTCCCGTCTCCTATATATAGCTGAAGCCATTGGAATTCGTACATATAACCCCAATTTATGTGTACAGAAGAAATACGTGACCCCCCTATCCCTTCCATGGCCAGTTATAA